TCTATCTTTCCAAATTTCACTCCATTGCTATGCTCCTGCCACGTGGATCTATCTCATTCAATTCAATTCAATTCAATTCATTCACATAAAATACAAATTATTATGCGGAGCAAAAATAGGGAAGTAGTTTAGTAGTTCGCATGTACAAAGTAGTTAGTTTTGTTTAAGTTTACTATTTTTTCCTAATAATTTTGAAGAATCAAATCAATCATATTCCATATATTACTACTTCACGAGTCTGCAATTTTTTTTTTCCTTATTCTAAAAAATTCAGCTGCCACAATTTAGAACCTATTTGAGAACACAAAAATTGACTTAATTAATTTTCTGAAATCTATGAAGTTCAGGGTTAAGTGGTTGGATCGATTGATTCTGCTGAATTATGAAAATAATTATGTCTATAATATATTTATTAGAATAATAAAGAAATATTAATGAAAAATAGCTGGGATTATTATTTTCAATTTTCCCTATATTTTATTAGAAGAATAAAGAAAAAAATGAATGAAAAATAGCTAAAAAGATCTTCTAGGTAAATTCAGCCAAATCAATCATAAAAGTATTTCTAAGCTTACTTTTTATTATTTTTAACTAATTCAACGCACGAGATCAAAATTTATACTATGTATCATATTATATGACGTCTTGGTATATAATATTGTTAGCTATCAATCGTTTCATTTCAGATAGAGAGAATCGCACTTTCAGTCTCTCAAATAGTGACCATATTGAAATGTAGTTCCCGTATTTTCAAGTGTGTATCTGTCACCCGTAAATGTGGTCCTTGCCCACATTATAAATGTCACTCTCAATTCTTCAAAGTACCACATTTACAACAATTTAGACAATTGAGGGATAAAATTTGCAAACTTGAAAATACGGGAATTGCAAAATTTAGAATGCTAAATTCTATATTTTTATGCTATTAAATTATTTTTATATTCTACATATTTTTAAAAATTATTTCCCTTTGTCTATTTCTGTTTTCTAAGTCTACAAAACTCAGCAACCATAATTTAATTGTTAGAGTTTTTTAGTTTTGTTTTCTATTACTCAATACAAATTCACAATCCCCTTACCAAAAAAGGGATATCCTTAAAATAAGATTAAAAAAATTTGGAATTCTATAATAGGATTCTCATGTTTTTATTTCTAAAAGGGAAAATCGTAATATTCAAAAAAAGGGAAAATCTTGCTTTTGGTTCTTCAATTAGTCACCATATTAAAATGTCAGACCCGTGATTCTGATATTGTAAATGTCACTCCCGAATTGATAGATGTATTGTAAATGTCATCCCCGCCATTTATAATCAATCTCAGATTCTAAACTACCAATAAATTCACCGGTGATGACATTTACAATCTCAGAAATACGAGTTTGACATTTCAATATGGGTAACTAATTGAGGGACCAAAAGTGTGATTTTCCGTTTCTAAAATATGAGTAATTATGTCAAACTTGAAAAGTACTACCATGTTTATAGTCTGTTACTGCTAAAACATGACAGTAATTACTACTCCGTAATATTTGGATAATAAAAATATGAAAGCCCTAATTTTGAATACGCACACATTTTTACTCCCATTTACGGCAATTTCCCTCAAAAAGTAAAAGCGACTGTCCATATATTTTCTCGGTCATCAAAATTCATAATTTTTTGTGATCTCCCATTCGTCTCAATTTGATAGTCCTGTTGCGGTTTATGATATTTGACCGAAGATAAAGCAAATGAATTTTTCTTACTCAACCACAACCTCACTTTTCCCCTTTCTTCTCATTTTCTTAGAGCCCGTTTGGTAATACCAAAATCGACTGAATCGGCTGATTCTGCTGAAATTAATGAAGTTCTGGCAGAAATGGCTGGAGTGGCTGATTTTGCTGATTTATGAAAATGAAGAAAAACTTATATAAAATAGCTAAAATGATTCTCTACGGTAACTTCAGCCAATACAGTCAGAAAAGTAACTCCAGTCTTACTTTTTCTTATTATTATTACACAATTCAGATCGTGAAATCAAAAATACGTGTTTAATGAAAAAATGGTGGATAAGCGTGATAAAGCAAAAAACAGGATTACTAAACGGGCTCTAAACTCCGATCCAAGTCAAAGTGGGAATAATTTTATGCGACAAGAGAGTATTACTATTATTATTATTATAATTATTATTATTGTCGGTGAATCAAATCACCTTTACAAGTAAAAAGAATGAGAATATTAAAAAAGCACATTTCATTAAAAATATAAATATACTTGAATTTCAATTTGGTCATTATTGTGGACTTTCAATTTTGTACATGCAGGTTAGATAGACTTACGAAAGGGTATCAAATTATTCCCAATCTAGCATCTCGAAGAATATTTGAACAAAAAAATGCACATCTCTTACTATGTAATGGCCCTTGAAAGAAACACTATAGTAGATTACCAACTAGAATAAGAAGCCAAACCAAACCTGAAGAAACATCAAAATAAACTTGCGGAAACAATACTCACACTATTCATCATAATAATGAGTGGGATAATTTCTCTGTCTCATATGTAGTTATTTAAAGTATGAGATAAGTCAACTAACAATTGAGCGGGAGAATTTCTCTCTCTCTCATATATATAGTACATTTAGATATAAGGTAAGGCGGCTAACAATTGAACGGGAGAACTTTCTCTCTCATATGAAAGGGTTTTAGGTATAAAAAGATATACTTGCTAATAATTGAGCGGGAGAATTTTCTCTCTCATATGTAGTGTCTTTAGCTATTATAAGATAAGTTTGCTAACAGTTGAGCAGGGAGATCGAGAGTGAGAATTTGCTATCTCATATGTAGTGCTTTGAAGTATTAGAATATAATCTTACTAACAGTTGAGTGGGATAACTTTCTCTCTAATATTTAGTTCTTTGAAGTATAAGATAAGTCATCTAACAATTGATCGGAATAATTTTATCTATCGTTTGTATTGCTTTTAGGTATAAGAAGCCAAGAATATAAGCTTGCTAACAATTGATGAGCATGTGAATTTTCTCTCTCATGTGTAGTGTTTTTGTACAAAGTAAGATAAGTCAGCTAACAATTGAGCGAAAGAACTTTCTCTATCATATATAGTTCATTTAAGTATAAGATAAACCGACCACAATTTGGCAGAACAATTTCTCCCTATCATATGTAGTGTTACACTTGAAATTAATTTTGTGGTGGTTTGTGAGGACAGTACTAGAGGTTTGGAGTAAGCACCTCGGGTTCTACGGGGCGGGGAGTTACAAGTGATACTTTTGGGTATAAGGTAAGTCAGTTAATTATTGAGCTGGAGAACTTTCTCTCTTATATGTAAGAGTTTTAGGTACAAGATGATGATAATGCTAATAATTGAGCGAAAGAGTTTTCTTTTTCATATGTAATGCTTTTAGATATTAGAAGATAAGTTGCTATCGGTTGAGCGAGGGAATGAAGCAGGATAATTTTCTCTCTCATATGTAGTGTTTTTAGATATAAGCTAATCCGACTAACAATTGATTGAGTGGGACAATGTTCTGTTATATATAGTTCTTTTAGGCGTAACAGAAACTGGTTGAGTATTTAGCAGAATAGTTTTCTCTCTCTCATATCTTAGTTCTAATTTAACTAATGAGTAACAACTTCTTTTTCAACTAATACTATTCATTAATTGTAATAATTATTCTACTCACTTAAACTTCATGTCACTCACCTATTGTTCTCACTTTTTCAGAATAGTATTTAATTTTAAATTTAATTTAATCATGAAAATTTATAAGTAGTAAATTCTAATGAATGGTGTCAATTGATTTTTCCTGATATACTCTTCATTGAATATGTATTTGATGAGCTTATACTTTATGGTATTAGCTTATTGTACTCTTATTTTTCAAAAATGATGAATTCTACAAAGTACTTTTATTTTAATATTTAATTAAATCGTGTGTAAAAATATCTGCACCAAATGCGTTTTCCCGTGCGTATGCACGGGTACTATACTAGTTTGAACTAACGGAAGAAGCAAAAGTAAGTCCGTAAGGGTGCATTAAGGAATGCTAAAAAGAGAAAACAATTATTTGAAGGTGATGTACAACTTCTTATCCATAGATTATGTTGACACAAAATGAGGGTACTAACCAACATTCACAAATATAAAGTTTTTTTTTTGTTTTTTTTATAATCCAAGTGTTGGGGCTTACTTTCACATAATCTTGCAGTCTATGAATTATCCTCCAAAGCTCGTAGACAGTTAAATTCGGATCTGATAACAGTGAACCTCGTTGATACTGGCTCCAAAGGACAAATCCAACAGAACTTACATCACTTGTTGTCATAAACACCAGCTAAAGACCTACTAGAGACTTCGGAAACTCCTATACCCGGCCTAGAATCTAGATAGGTTATTGAAAATTTGAAACTACACTTCTGTATTCTATATTTTAAAGAGAAATTAGCCAAAATATTACTGATTTTGTGAAAATTTTATCAATGTAATAATTATATTACTCCGTATTAATTATTAATCATTCAAAGGTAAGCTTTTTAACTCAATGATTCAAAATTAAATTTATATGATTAATTTAAGAGACAACCATATTTCTGATCATGACATTTTAAGTCATAACTATAAATAAGAGTGAAAGTTAATATTATTATGTCAAAATTCTATTATAAATCATTAAAAATTATGTTTTTAAACTTAATGATTCAAAAATACATTTATATTATTGATTTCAGAGTACAATTATGAATTACCGATCATAATCACTTATGTAATGACTATAAATAAGAGTCAAAGTTAGTATTATGTTGTATTTACAAATCATAACAGTTTGAAAATATTGATTTCTAGTTAAAATGACAAACAAATCAATCATACTGTAATGTTTATTTTTGCATTCTTTCAAAACATTGTGAATATTAACTATCACTCTTTCTAAATGTAAATTTTATTAAGTAATAATCCGTATATGTTACTTCATATTATCTTTTCACACATTTACACATTATATGAATACTTTGTTGTTAACATTATATATAAATGATACTATGTCTTTTTAATAACGACCATTATAGTGGCATTCCTTAGTATGATATACTCCGTATAACAGTAACAGTTGTGCCATTTTTGTACATTCCCGCACTGTACTATGCTGGTTACTCTACTAATTACCTCTACACAAGTTAATGTGAGGAAGGACAATAGAAAAAATAAAAAGGTCAGAAGAACTACAGAAGAAAGAATATGTAGAATTATTGAGTAGTCAATGGGATAAACTCCAAAGTTTCTTGTTTGCTAAGAGGATTTTCTCCATCCCAGGAGACCCGGACTCTTTCTCATGAATACTTGTTGTCCAGTTTATAGCATGAGCAATGTGTTCTGTTCTGTTTATCACTTCAGGTGAGTCCCGAATTATAACTGTTCCTTCTGGTCGCAACATTCTATCAATTTCCACCATCAGATCCACTAGGTTACACCTGCATCAGTGGTGAAGATTGGATCAAGGTTTTGTTTGGTACCCATACACCGTTTATAGTGATTATCAGCAAAACAAACAGCTTTTAACTTGCTTAAGGGTGTTTGGGTCTGCTTTTCAGAACTCCTGGATCTGCAATTTCAGGAGTGTTTGGGTGAACTGCTCTCCAAAATCAGATTTTCACAAGCTAGGGGAGAAACCCTTCTTTTTAACAAGATGCAAAATCAATTGCAAACACCCTCTAAATGATTAAAATGGATGCTACCAATCACTTTCCTTTCATAGAATTCAGTGGATTCAGCCATTTCATCCAAATATCCACCAAATGGCCCCAAATAAGTGAAATAACAAAGGAGGTAAATATGTAAGGCAGGGTCAATTTGGGAACAAGCTAAACAGAGAGGACTGGACGGGATTTATAGAAAGAGTAATAACTATTTCAAATTGCATGAGAACTGTGCTTCCATAATTCCATTATATGATGGTGAAATGAAGAAATACCATATTCCAAGAAGCCTCACAGGAAGTAATTTATACAAGGACTGTACATACCTGCTCTTGCCAGAATTATGATCCTTTGTGAGGGAATCAATAGCAGCCACATGAATTAGATCATAAGTCCGAGGGTAAGTTGAGAAAGGCTCACACCTAAAATGAAGCCAAAATTAAATCAAGACTGGCTGCCCAATGACCATGATAATGATGATGTGTGTGAACAAACAACTTACAAGTAGGAAAATCATATAGGGTAAAATCAACACCTCAATGTGTCTAAGCCTCTAAGGTAATCAGGTAGACTTAAATGATTCTTCTATACCTGTTAGTATGAGTCTGACCCTCGCTAATTGTCAAACGACCTTAGTAGTAGGGTTCATTATTGGTATCAATCACCTGTATAACACTATAACCTCACTCCTATTGATAGAGAAAAACTTCAAACACTCCCACAAAGTCACTCTCTTCTATAACTTACAATAACTAAAGCTTCAATGCACTTATAAGATTTGATATAGATATAAAGTTCACTTCAGAGTGTCAATCTCACAGGTGGATCAACGCAGATAGTTCATTTTATAGACATAAAAAGTGATAGAATCCTCCAGAAGTTCAATGGAAATCACAGAAATTTATCAAGAACAATTCAAAGCTTTATTGAATCAAGAACCTAACAAGAAACTATGGCCGAAGCCCCCAAAAGCCGAAGCTCCCAAAGAAAGATTATTAGTCTCAGTCTTCCCAAGTCCCAAGACAAAGAGTCCAAAAGCCTCCTTACTACCTTCCCTCTACATCTATTTATACTAGAGACCCTTATTACTAATATTATTATTATTACTTCTAATATTATTTTAATAAGTAGGTCCCTATCACTACTCCCCCCCTAAACATCCACCTTGCCCTCAAGGTGGTCGGTAGGAGACAACCCAGATCTTCTTCTTCTTCTTCTTCTTCCTTGCACCTCTTCCTTCCCAATATCTTTCAAATGTCAGGATCCTTAACTTCATGACTTGAATCTTCCTTCTCACTGCTTCTTGCAAAAACAGCATTAGCTCCTTCTTCTTCCAATCATCAATATTAGGCATGTGTCTTTGATCATGCTGGTACTGATCTTCACCCACCATCCCTTGCTCAATCTTCCCTGTGCTAATAGCTCTTGCTACAGGATATAACTCAAATCTTTGAGTTTCAGTTGCTTCCCTCCTTGAAATTTCAGCATCTTCAGTCGCCAACTTATTTGAGAAGGAAAACCTCAAAGGTTTTAGCAGGTAGGTGAGGATATCCACTATTCCAGTTGCATTTCTGCTAACTGAAGAACAGGAAAGCCTATTATCCATGCAAAACTCCCAAAGTAGGTTTTCTTGAAGATAGACAGATTCTTCATCAGAAGAAAACAATTCACTTTTCAACCCTTGTTTCAGTTTCACCTGTCCATTTGCTACAGCCTCCCATCTATTAACAGTAGCCTGAGTAGTAGGATCCCGGGCCATACTGATTTGATCCAACTGATATTCAAAAATATCAACAACATATTTCCCCATCCCTTTCAAAAAAAAAATGGTGCTCAACACATTGTCCTCTTTCCAGTTCATACCTCTTTTCATGAGTATTTTATGTCTTGGATCAATACTTGCCATAAGAAACTTGTAATCAAAACCTACATTTCTATCTTGAACAGGTATACACTCTACTGGCAGTCCCCTAACCACTTCACTAACAATTTCCACACCAGTCACATATCCCTCAAATTCTGTAACATTCCCAGAAATCTCTCCTTCCAACCTCTTTTTATTACCCATCATAGAAGTAATACCCTCATATCTGAAACTATCAAACTTGTTCAATGATTTCAGCCCTTCCAAAGAAATGTTTATGGATGACAGTATATCATTTCAGATTTTAAAAGATTCAGCCATTTCATCTCCTGAACGAAACTAGACTTGTCAGCATCATGAATCTGTTTGGGATTTCCAAAAATGATAGAAGATTCTCCCGAAACAAGCCCAACCTCCTCCTCCTGTCTTTCCTCCTTGATTTCGTCTTTCTCATTCACTTGCTTGATTACAGGTTCATTTGGTTCCATCTGGGTCTTCTTTGTGGACTCGTAAATTTCTAGCACTGATTGAGAAACTTGTGAACGAGAAATTCTTTGCGACCTCGATGACTCCTGTTTCCGCCGCCTGCTTAACGATGATTCCTGCGAACTGAATGAAGAAGTTCTCGATTGCGAACTGGAAGAAATTCTTCGTGACTTCGATGAGTCTCGGTTTTCTGTCTTTCCTGTCTTCGGCCGGCATGTAGTTGGAAAATCCCTAATCAAGTCTTCCTTTAGATCATTCCAACTATCTTCTCTCTTATGAAAATCCCACCAATGAAACCAGCCATCTGCGGCTTCCCCCATTGCCTTTGCTGCCATGTCCACTTTAAATCTTTCTGCAATAGCTTGGACTCGGAAATATCTTTCCATCCTTTCTATCCATTTGTACGCTTCATCCTCGTAGAATAGAGGTAATTCCTCCATCTTTGACCTAGCTAAATTCCGAGAAGCGACTTTAGACGAAGAAGGCAAACTCTGATGCGAAGAGCGATGATATGAGTGATGATTAAAACTCTGCGAAGAGGGATGCGAAGAACTTTGCGAAGAGTGAGGGAAATAACTCTGCGAAGAAACATTTCGCGAATCGGCCTGCGAAGAACTTTGCGAAGTGTGAGACGATGAGGAAGACTCTGTTCGCGACTGGAGACCGTGAGAAGATCTTCGCGTTTGCGAACGATGAGATTGCGACGTAGTTCGCGACTCTGACTGCGAAGTAGTTCGCGACTCCGACTGCGAAGTAGTCCGCGACTCCGACAGCGAAGTAGTTCGCGACTCCGACTGCTTACCTGTGAGCGATTGCGACGAACGAAGATTATGGTGCGAGGTACTGTGCGACCTGTGCGAAGAGTGCGAACTGCTCTTCCATAGATTCTGGACTCTCTTGTCCAAGTTGGTGATTGTGGCCTGAATTTCCTCCAAAGTCTCCGTCGTTTCCTTCTGTTTTCTCTCCAGCTCGTTCAATGTAAAATCCATTTGCGCACAGTGATGAACGTGCTCTGATACCAATGATAGAATCCTCCAGAAGTTCAATGGAAATCACAGAAATTTATCGAGAACAATTCAAAGCTTTATTGAATCAAGAACCTAACAAGAAACTATGGCCGAAGCCCCCAAAAGCCGAAGCTCCCAAAGAAAGAGATTATTAGTCACAGTCTTCCCAAGTCCCAAGACAAAGAGTCCAAAAGCCTCCTTACTACCTTCCCTCTACATCTATTTATACTAGAGACCCTTATTACTAATATTATTATTATTACTTCTAATATTATTTTAATAAGTAGGTCTCTATCAAAAAGTATGGCATTGGAATTTTATTGTTTTATTCTGGGACATTTAATGTTTATTAGAAATATTAGAAAATGATGAATACCGAGTTAGACACTCCTTGGAATTACCAGAATATGCGATACTTCGGACAAAGTATCCAGAGTAATGATGGACGTTCAAAAGTGTGAGATTAAAGGCTTACCAATCATGGTAAACTCCGATAAGGCCTCTATCATAAATGACATCAAGAGTTAAAGGACGACCTTGAGCAGGAATGACATTCATCACCCAAACAGGATCAGATATTAATGATGCAGCAAAGCCACCCAAAAAAGCATTCATGTCCATCACATTTCGTACAGCTGAGGTCCCTAATTTTATGTTTAATGATTTCTTATAATAAGCAACTGCCACTTCCCATCTTCTACTGTCAGCCTCAAAAACATCTATTCCATTGTCCAATTCAGTGGCTCTTGAAGAAGCTTTAACCAACCTCTGAGGCCATTTCGGTATAGCACCAACACCATATTGTCCTTTCACGGAAGATGTCCTACTCACACATTCTTTCAGCTTGAAATACCTGTCAATTTATCCCGAGTGTAGAGACACGTCCAATTAGTTTTTTTTTTAAATCTAGATGAACACAAAAAGTGTATACTTTTTGGGTACACCGCCCCTAGTTGCCTCTGTACAAGCAGCTCGTTTAGAAAAAGTTAGCAATTATCTGTGTACACACGCAGGTTTACAAAAGTGTACACTTTTTGTGTACACCAAGAATGACTCTTAATTTTTTACAACGAAATACAGAGTAAGCATCAATGCTAGTAATGTACTCCCTCCATCCTCATCTCAGTCCCAAAATAAGTCCTATTTTTTTACGTAGTATCAAACAAAACTAATTTTTCATGTTTTTTGCCAAAAACAATCTATACAAACACGTTATGTTTTGATTAAACTACCAAAAAAATCTCAAAAATATACGTAGGGTTCCATGACTTGTAGGATTTGTACCTTGTAAAGATTGAAAAGTTGTACCTTGACCAAACATTACTCCTTTGTTGGATGGGGGGAGTAATAATCAGTATGAAAGTTGCATTAGTGTGCTTAAGCATCTTTCTAGTAAAAGAAATAAAGCATAGTAGTTGTTGAAAGGAAAATCACCAGGCAACGCTTGGAGGATCATCAGATTCACACAATTTGATCCCAAATTTATTTTTGTTTGGAAAACACGCACCCATGTCGTTGGGCTTTTTCCAGATGGCCGTGTTTCCTTCCACAACAACCTGTTCATAACACATTGATCTGGCAACAGCTTGAAGCTCTGCCCACTGCTTATCTTCTTTAGGCCACTGCACAGGAGGGCCAGAGATGACAAAGTAGCCACCAGGACGAAGTAATCGGTCCACTTCCAAGAAGTATGTTGCATCTGGAAGGAAAAGGTTTATTTTTACAACCAGAAACATTTTATCCAAATGATATATTCTTATATTTACAATTTGACCATGTAAATAGTGTACGGGAAACGTACTATATGCCGTATAAGGAATCAAGCACCTAGAGCAGTGCACTAAATCAAATGCAAAAGCAGGAAATGGAAGTCTTTGGGTTCCAAGCATGACAACAAATGCAGGTATTCCTCGCTCCAAGGCAAATTGTATTTGTGCTTTGTGTGAATCTCTGGGAGCAAAAGAAAGGGTCAAGATGTCTTCAGCAAGTAGGTAACCACCGAAGCTGGCAACCTAAAGTGGATAATAGCACATTACAGTTTGGGATATCTAAAACAAATTGAATAGCTCCATATAAGTATAAACATTGAATTCCCTACCCCACATCCCATATCAAGAGCAGTCCTCAAAACACCACCAGCTATAGGAATATATTTCTTAAGTTTATTGATATATTGTACAGCTCCATCTGGGAACATGGTACCACCACCGGGAAAGATAAAGTAAGGACCCTCTTTCTTCATCCATCCTTGGTGCCCTTTCCTGTCAGCCATTTTGTTGTAAGGCATGTTTTCATGCCATATCTGCAACAACAAGTACAACAATGTGCTTTCAAATATGTTTTTTATGAAAAACGACTTAAAGGTTTCCCTTTTAACAAAAATAAACCCACAACGGTCACAAGAACAGATCAGACACAGCTAAGATTATTGAGGGTTGAGTATCCTCACCCAATGCACAATCCAGCTAACCATAGCCAGATTTTAACTCAACGGACGAGCATAGTGCAATTCTGCAAAAGATGTGATGGACCTTCTCAACGCCTTAGTTCTAGTTAGCTACCACTACTGAGTTGGAATTATTCAAGAGTCCTTCACTTTCAGTAACTTAAAATTTTGAGTGACATTGTGCCATGTGTCTGCAACAAAATTTCCTAAAGCTCACACAATTACGCATTTATGAGCACTTAAAAAATAACTAAATGGAAGGCCTAAATAACTGAATGGGGGGCGTAAAAATAACTAAATTCAGTACGTGAATAAGAAAAATAAACTTTACTTTGTGCAGACTTTCCGGCCACCGGACCGGAACGCGGTAACCCTTAGGCGGTGGAATCAAGCAGAGCGGAGTCTGCTCCGGCAAGGGACAATGCCTCTCCCTGTAGTAATTCATCTCTCTGCTAAGCTGGCTGTTGATTCTAGGGTCCTCACATGGCATGTGGTCCACATCACCGGCAGGGCAGGACGGGACAGGGGAAGACAGCTGCCCCACCTCTATGAGCTCCACGAGCCGGCTACGCTGCTGAGGATCCACGGCGGAGCGGATAGTAGGTTTCCTCCCTGACGGCCCAGGGGAATCGCCGAGTCGGGAGTAGACGAAGAAGAAGAAAATGAAGACCGCCGCGAAGAAGGCAGCTGAGATCACGTTCAGCGGCCGGAACTGTCGCGCATTTCGCTTGGATGCGGCGGACAGGCTCGCATTACCCATTCCCAATTCACTGGGACTTCAACTCAAGATCTGATCGTATCATACGGAGCAGTAAAAAACTACAGAATCTGGTTTCATACTAAATACTTAAATGTACTGGTGCATGATTGAATTAAAAATGACCTACTCCGTATATAATTGCGTTTACTTTGCAAATAAGAAAAATACTCCTCTCATTCCAAAAGATCTTGACACTTTGACTTCACAGTTTTTAAGGAAATAAATTTAACTTTATCGTAGAGTACACTGTTTGGCACTGTTTGACATTGTTTGCCACTGTTTTGTATAGATTTATTTGCCAAATAAAGCAAATAAGGAAGTGTTAAGATCTTTCTGGTACTGCTAAAAATGGAAAGTGTAAAGATCTTTCAGAACGGGAGGGAGTAAGTTATCTTTAAATATTATTGAAATACACGTATAATTTATACAAAATATTATTGTAGTTATTATTTATAATTACTACTATTATTTCGTAATAATAATACAACACAATAATAATCACTAAAATTATTACTCCCTCCGTTCCTAAATAAACTTCCAACTTTCCTTTTTCGTCTGTTCCCATTAAAACTTCCACTTTCCCTTTTTGGTAAAGAATTTGTGGTTCACAACATTTCTTACACATTTCTCTCTCCTCTGCACAACTCTCCACCACACAATATCCACTATCTTAAACTTTGTGCCAAACTCATTTGGAAGTTAAAATGGGAACGGAGGTAGTATGATAATTCTGGAGTATTAAAATAAAAAACATCACATATATCAAGTAGCTGCATTGAGCATGTTTTGTCGACAAATATCTCTAAACTAATGGAATAAAAACATCTACCTCACCACCTAATACAATGATTTCAAATTGTTAATTAATTAATGGAAACAAATTTTAATACCCATCCCACCTGTAAAACTTGACCAAGTTTGATAAAGTAAAAATAAAGTAAAAATTGTACGATTGAAGTTTGTGCATAGGAGAGAATCACAAATTGTTTGCTAAAATAAATAGTTACAAAGTTAATGAAACAATCAAAAAAGGAAAGTTAACAAAGTTTTCAGGGACGGAGAGAGCAATCATTCCCTTCAAGTAAGGTATCTCTCCTATTGTATTAGCTTCTTTACTATCTTATTTTTTTTTTGAATAAATTACTTATATTTATATCATTAGTTTCAGAATTGTTACATTATTCAAAGAAAAAACATATCACCTCTGTCTCACTCAACTTTGTCAAGGTTGAGGTTGAGTGGGAAATTAAAAAGGTAAAAAATGTGTGACTGAGATTTGTGCAATTGATAGAGAGAATGAACAGAGCCACAAATTCATTGTTTTAAAAAGAAAGTGGCAAATTTTTTTTGGAAGAAATAAAAAAAATGACAAAGTCCAATGGGACGAAGGGAGTATATGATACCAACTAACATTCATCAACTATGATTATAAACTCTAGATTAGACATAGAAATGATCATCCCTGAATGAGCAACACGAATCTCTAACCACAAAACGGGTTTGACATGGGTATCACTGATCATATAATTTATTTTGTTGGTCTTATCGATCCACATACTTCTAACGACATAAAAATAAGCTAAATTTTAATTCATCCCACCAAACCTAACAACATAGACTTTAACAAGAATGCAAACAACAAAATAACAATATCTAATGGGATAAATTTCTCGAACCGTAGCACCTCATTCAACCCATGGCGGTTGTTTAAAATGAGGTCGGACCATTAGTACCGTTGTGATTGATCCTCCATCGCCAGTGGAACTCTGACCTTCTCCAAACCCATCGCTTCCCAGCTCTCGGTGCTCCTCATACGTGCTTAGGCCCCTAGTTGTCGTCGTCCTGATCACGACACCACGACCTCTTGCGGTTGAAACAAGACATCCGACCAAAGTTTGCACAAAACTCACCTGAGTCACCTCCTCGCCTTACATCCTGTCTTCTCATTGAAGTTGAGAGAAATCAATCCCTAAAACTCTAAATCACCGACGAAGAAAATTCACGACACCAAACCCAAATCTGCGGACAAGTTGTGCACCACCGCTTCCGTAAGTTATTAGATCTAAATATTGAGTTAAAATACTCATGATATATGATGATGGATCTTTACTTTCTTGTTTTGAAAAACTAAAAATGTAATTTTAAATTAAGATTTAAAACGCTTTCATCTTAGCATTGACATTTTCTAAAAGTAACATTATTATTATAAATATTAGAGGTGTCCATATATATCCATCCAATCAAACCAAACCATATCCAAATGAACTTTGAACACTAATCATACAATTGGATTTGAGTTTTGTCAGTGTTTCTTACAAATCGTATTAAACCATATCATATTTAAAATGAGAAAAACTGAATAAAATCGAACCGTTAATTAAATACTAGTATATTATTAATAAAAAACTAAATCCAAACCAAAATACACTAATTAAATCAAACTACAACATAGTACACAATATAATTTTTGTTTGGTAAACATTCTTACAATCATTTCAAGCCGAGTAAAAACTCAATAAAAACCAAATCGAAATTTATTATGAAACACATACTTCTTTTTTTGAAAGCACATACAGTAGTTCTTATTATATACTCCGTACTTTTTAAAATTATGAGTAAAAATAGATGCTTTGAGATTGAACCACATTTTCCAGTCAAATTTGAATTTGCATCTCATTTCCAAAATAATAGCGTTTGCATTTCATAGTCCGAAAAATCTCGTATAATGGCGTGAAACTTCAATTTAATAGAACTGATGGGGTTCAAATTTTAATGTTTAGGGTGCAAAGTTTAATGTTCCATCACAAATACATTTTTTCAAATTAGATGCAAACTAAAAATCAGATAAAAAGAAAATTGGGGAGCAAATTTCAATTCTCCCATAAACAATATCTTAAAGCATGCCATCGAACAAACCAAGGTAGAACCAGAGCTCATCTAACGTATTGTAATTTATCATTACCATAAATGATGTTGTACATTCCTTTTAGTTGTACATCTAACGTACAGCCATTGGTAAATAAGACAAAAAATAGCATTCGAACTTCTAATTCGAAGAACAATTTTTGTCATTTGATAGATTTGATATATAAATTCATTTTACTTCGAAAACAAGGCTAATTTGGTGCTTTGTTTTGTGAAAATACATCCATAATATAATCATATTTTGAAACATGACTATACGTAATAATTGCGCATCCAAAAAATTCAAAACGGCCCTCATTCCAGTGATATAGAGTTATTGACAGAGATTGGAGGATAATATAAAAACACAACAATATAGACTTAAGAGGCCAATGTGTTGTACACTTCTACTAGTCAATTGGAAAATTGTGTGCCCACCGCAAAAACCATCCATCCTTGAGGTCAAACAACCCACAAAGAAAGAAAGAAAACTTCAAGAATAAATTTAAGCATTTTTTCTTTTTCAATCCCTAATCATCAGATGCCGCTAGAGTGTTTCCTTGATGATGATCGGTTGTTGTAGTCGTGCTTCAGAAGGCTCGCTCTCAAAAGTAAAGCTTTAACATCTCGATCGAATTCCTTACCCGTCTGCAGCACCCTCTGGAAGGTTGCATTTCTCATATCAGCATGCCTTGCATATAAAATCTTATTATGTGAATCAATCCGAGCCTGCAAGAACCAATGTAAAAATGTCTCATCATATGGGTAAAACAAAGAAAAACACATAATTTCCATATAGACACTACCCAAGTGTAACTCAGAAACCAATGAGTGACATGTCTGAAGCTACCACATGTATGTGGGAAGGTGTTTCCTTGGAAGAACTCCTTAGCACCCGCATAGAACCAGGAAAATGCTAAATATTTGTTCAAACTTATTTCATTTGAATATACTTCTAAGAAATCTAAATGCGTGCAAAATTTTATAAACTTTTAATCTCCTTTTACTTTCCTTTGTATTTTCCCATGTAAAAAAACACAAACATTAAAAAATGACAGATGCAATACTATAATAATTATCAGACAAAAAGGTGACACCCTTATGCAAAATAATTATATTTGACTTGAACAATGACAGTAGTGATGGAGTGAGTGACCATGTAGTTATGTTTTTGTCCTTGAGTATTATGTTAGTAACTTTTCTCTGGGGGGGGGGGCTAAAAATATCATTAACATGTTTCTTCACTTCCATACTATATTGCCTCTTCCAAACATAGCCTAACGAGAGACTAGGAAAAGGGGTCTGGTAATAATAACTGTAAAGTTCATTATAACCTGTATTTCATTGTGGGTAATTAAAGCTTCAAGCTCCTTCTCCAACCCAGACACAGTGGTCTTGAAAGCATTGGCCATCATGTGCAGATCAACAGAAACAAAGGGATGCGTGTACTGGATGAGAGCTTTGTTACGGATTTGGTTGTACAGCGTCTCGACATGGTCATGCAAATGGATGTCAAGCATTAAGTTTGTTTTCAGGTTTTCTAAATATCCAAGACACGAAGCATAGCGACTGCAAATGATAATTAATGAAACATCCGAATAAGAATATATATTCATTACATATATAGCAAGCAATTCACATTAGTTACCTTGTGTAGAAATCATTGATAAGTTCTCGAATCTCAGGTACTAACTCTAGGAAATTCCTGAAGATAACATTGTCTATGACTTTGCTCTACAAAAAAAAATCATGTCAGTCCATGAAAGATGATAAAATTCGCATACTTGTTCTGTCAAGTTTTGAAATACTATTTTCTAAAGAGCAAAGATGTTCACTTGCCTTCAATTCTGCGCGATCAAAACTTGCAAGTGCACAAAGCGCACCATATGTTGCAACATCTTGAGGTGCAATTACTTCATTGTAGTTACTCAGTAATTCTTGACCCACTTCCAGAAACTGCAAAGGGTCCAATGGAATGTTAATATGTCAGACTATCAGAAGACAATGAATAGCAATTAAATAACCATCCCAAATCATCTTTTTGGTAGATCTGCAATCAAGCTGTCTCATAGGGATAGAGCATGAGCTTAGTTTTAAAAAGCATGTCTGACGCATGCCTAGGGACAAGGCGCACAGATATGGAAGGAATTTTGTGTAGGCAACTCCAGGCACTCGCATCAGACCCGCTTCTGCGTGCATGCTGAGGCTCTCGCCTCTGTACTTCTTCGTATCCCATACGGTTTTATCTTATTTTAATTTTTAATGTAGGTTTGGAATTTCCTCTAGCAAGAGCGTCTAAAATATATGTTAAGTAGGCATGTGTCAGGTTAAGAGTTTCCCTCTGCAAGGCCATAGATTTAAATCAATTATTTAAACATAATTACTGAAGAAACGACCCCCTCTTTTTTATTAGAAAATCGATACTCTATCTATTCATCTTCTCCGCATCGCTGCAGCAGCACGTCAGCACCTATCTATAGTACTAGTGTACTACCCAAGTGTTTTTCTATCCTCTTCTTCCTTTTCTCTTTCTATTATCACACTCTGCTAGCTGTCTCTCTGTTGTGCATGCTACTGCAAACTACTTGAGTGTTTTCTTCTATTGTTTTTTTAAGTAGTCTCAAACTTCCAATCCTATTTCATTGTGTTCTGCACTAATGTGGAAAAGAGTTCTGCACTCATGCAGGAAAGGCTGATAGTATTATATTTACATATTTTTACATATATTTTATTATTTTTATTTGAATATAGTTTAGAATGCTTCTATGCTTTCATTTTTCTGTTTATTACTTTTCTTATAGTTAAATTTGTGTACTTTCAAGTTTGAAGTTGTTTGTTTGTTTCTTACGTGACTGTTTGACTAATTCATTCTAGGATTTTGATATGTAATTTGGTTGGTTGTCAGTTTATTATTTTTGTTATTATGTTTGAGGATTAGGTTTCTTTGATGTGTTGTTATGTTTGAGTGTAAGATATCATGACCAAGTAGTATATATGCTCCCTAGCAAAGATGTGTGCCTATGTTCTGTGAGGGGCGCACCTCCGCTTGTGCTTCACGCCTCGGCTAAACGTACCCAAGACGCCTCAGTATGTCTTGCGCCTTTTAAAAATTAAAACTAAAAGCAGGATCATAAAGACAATATAAATTTTAAGTCTACCAGTAACCTTTTCCAATGCCACCAGAAAAGAGTTAATTTCCCTCCTCCCCCATACACAACCACACATGCAATTTGAGATGAGTCGACAAGTCCACGAGGGGCAGCACCAATGTGGTAAAATACAAAAACAACACCCCACTTTACAGAGAGAGATTCAAATTCAATTCAGTTTGTCTAATTTCTAAGTGGATATATAATCTTTAGATCCTATGTTACTGAAATCTGTCTATGTTTTTAAGTGAAAAGATAACTTCTACCCCCCATATTTTTATATTTTGGTCACCTACACAAAAGTGGATAAAAGTAGTGTGGCCACAACTGTGGGAAAAGGGAAGGGAGCAAACCTTACGAGCAGCAAGCTTATACTTCTTTGTCTCTAAGTGAGCCAATCCAGCAGCACAACAAAGTTTAGCAGCTGTAATTTCATCTAAGGAAGCATCATGACCTTGCTCCGCTTTGGTGACATAGCTTAAAACGTGAGAGAATTGGCCCATCTCAATGCTAACCAGAATGGCATTTAAACACATGTGAATAATATGCTTTGATGTCGTGCAATAATCACGTGTCCTGACATAATTCTTCAAAGCGTCACCAAGTTGCCCGTGAGCATAATAGAAATCTCCTAAGTCATTGTATCCCATCCTAATGCTCTCTTTGATCAAATTAGTCTGTGGAGAGGAGAAAAGATTTTCAGACTTTCAGCATATTCTTTTTTTAATAACATTCCCAAATTTGATCACTAAAAGAGCTGAAATGAGAAGACTATTCAACAGACAAAAAAATCATCAAATCAGCAGATAATGACTATCAACTTATTAAGTGATGAAGTGTCAAGTGTGCAGTGTTCGATATAAGTTACTACATTCTTTAAACAACCAAAGAGATGGAACATCAAACAGAGCCTCAAGAGTTGGGATTTCATATAACATCCAAAATCTCAAAATGGTTCAAGCCAGTTAACACAATATTTGTGAATGTGAATGGTTCTAGAAACTATGAAGAGTTAAATACAACTTGTTTGTCCACCACATCACAACCATTCAGGATGTAAAGCTTTAATTTCTTCACGATGGTCAAACTATACCACTGTACCATATGCATTATTGTACTAAACACATCAATCTAACCTACTTGCACAAGTTAATAAGCTATTCAACCATCTAAACGCTGCTAGAATGCACTCTCTACTACTGATTATCATATGAAAATTAGATTTCATAGGACCTCCGAAAATCTCAAAATGGTTCAACTGTTCAAGCCAGTTAGTCCAAAATTTCCGGATGTGAATGGTTCCGGAAACTATTAAGAGTAAACTATACCTTGTCTGTCCACTAGATCACAACCATTCAGGATGTAGAACTTTACTTTCCTCACGAAGATCAAACTATACCATATGAATTATGGTACTAAACATAACAAGTTTAACAACCTAAACTGCTTGCACAAGCTGATAACATATTCAACCATCTCAAATTTGCTAGGATGTGCTCTTTACTACTGACTATCATAAGAATTAAGAAGTTAATCAAAGGCACTATCATCAGGGTACTCTATTTATTTCAGTAAACAAATAAATAGGAGTGCGAATTCAAACTAAGCAAAAAAACCGAGCTGACTATTTGTAAGCAAGTATAGGAAGTGCGGAGTAAATGCAAGGTGAGAGAGTGCATTGTACCCTATAAGCATTCAGCTCATTCTCGAGCCTATCCTTTCTCAACTCCGCTCTGTGGTCTACTGTATGCACCCACGCAGAATCCGTCTCGTAATTAGACCCCAAACGCCCATCAATCTTCTGGACAACCTCCTTGAACAACTGGGTATTCTCGCCCTTCTTAATCTCTTCATAGGCCATCCTTAGAGCCTCCAACTGCATCGTTGCATTGTTGCACCGGTCAGCGACGAAAAGCAGGCGCATAATCTTCGTGCGACCGCTGTACAGGGAAGCGTATGCCTCAACATCAAGCTGCTCGCCGCTAATGATCAGCCGTTGGCGTATGGAGCCGTCTTCGGAGACGGAGCATCCGTTCTCGTAGATCTCATCGACCATCAATCCTGACTGATCTTCTTCCGCTTCCATGAATCCAGATTACTCCGGTGCTGCTTGAGACTTCAATATTGCTTAACAGGACTGGGGAGAGACGAACTTGGCACTTCGCTCCTGGAAGCAAGCATTAGAGGAAAAAGGACCTCCACGCTCTTAAAGCCCAAAGCCCTTATCATGAATTCTTGATCCAGCCCATTAGAATAACGCCCCAATAAGGTTGCATCGGTTCTCATAAGCCCATGAAGTTTGTTTAAAACCGGCTATGGTTAGCATTTGTCATAATTTTTTTTTGGTCATAATTTGGTATTTCTTCGAAAACTATGAAGAATAATCATGTGATCTTTAATGTTCTATTGTCTTGTTCTATTTAAATTTGATACTCCATATGACCTTATCTGAACTCGTATGGTAAGATAGATGTCTTATATAGGTATATATTACGAACTAGAATGTGTACCCGTGCATAACACGGTAAGATATGTGCTTAAAGTTAAGATTTTTGACACATAGAATTGAAAAAAATAAGTACAACAAAGTTGTAGAGGTAATAAATTATATGTGATTTCGTAGATTACACACTATATTTGATTGAGTTACAAATATCAAATTTTGAAAATGGTTAAGATTATTGTCAAAATTAGAATTTAAAAGAGAATTGTGTTGACAGTGAATGAAGCTATATATTGAAATGAGACGAACCCGCAAGCTAACTCATTTTAACCTATTTAATGGCGTATTAGGATTGTCATTTTTTCTCAATTAATTCAAGTGTTGCGATGAATTTCGCCCACACTTGTTGGAGGTTGGTCAATATAAAAACTTCTAATTTGGACTATCATTGACTTGAATATATTGACCTTCTACTATCAATTTCATTTTCAATTATATACTTATTATTTTACAACAGTTGCTAAATTATTATCTCAAATAATTTATTCAAGCTTATTTTTTGTATTTTATAATTGACAATGATCCTTTAGCAATTAGTAGTTATGATTTACAAAAATCTACTTAAAAGGTCAATGTGTATCCTTTTTTTGTTTATTCAATACTTTTGTTGGATAATATCAAATTTTTATATAGTTATGATTTAATAATATTTTTAATGTAACTTATCAAATATGGCGTTCTTAGTATTTTGGTTTCTTATATTTCTTTTTATTACTACTTACTTATATGAACAAATATTTCATGTTAACTATTTTCAAGGTATTTTGTTATTGTATGTTTCTTTCACTTGTTTACGGGCTAGCCCACGAAACCGACATATTGGATGTATTGGGGCAGTGTTGTGGAAAATTTTGGCCCGCCATTAGACAGGTTTACCAATATGACCCATGAAAAGCATAGCCCGTCACAGATTGGGTAAGGGCGGTGCAAGGCGGGGCTTGTTGATTGATGATACTTGTCAAATATAAATATTATATGGGAGTGCTCTATGTTAAAAGTACGTAGTATTTCCAAAAAAGTACTCGTATATATAAAAGTTTTAAGTTTCACGTAAATTATTGTCCAAAATTTATTATCATTAAATTGATAAAAATAAGTTAAATTAATCAAATTTTATGGGATGTGGGTGTTTGTAGTAGTAGCAGAAATATACACGTATATGTATTGGAAGACGTGTGGGTGGAGTTTTGGAATCTCAATAGTTTTTCACTTATGTTTGTAAGTACGTATATATATACACGTACATACACACACATATAGAATAAGGATCAAATGAGAAGAGTGCTTATCGTAAGAAATGAGAATGCATCTGGTGCGTTCAATTTAAGATGTGTGCATCAGATTAGTAAAAAAGTGCACGGGAAAGTGCAAAAATATTTAAAAAGTGATGCTAGACGCGGTGGCATTTCTGTAATTAATCAGAACTTTTCTGCCATCGCAAAAAGTGCATCAGATTAGCAAAAAAGTGCATCAGAAATAGGTAAATGTGTAACTTCTCACTTCTCACGTTAAGATGTCTTCTCATTAGAACTCAATCATATATATATATATATATATATATACATATATATATATATATATATATACATATATATATATATATATATATATACATATATATATATATATATATATAGGGTTTTGGTTCAAATAATAACATGATCTTAGGAGAGAAATGAAAATAAATCTGGACAGTTAGATTTGTTTTAAGTGAAATTCAATGTGCATTAGATGCAACGGTAATGTGCATTAGGTGAAATTCAAATGTGCAGCACAAAGGGTACAATACAATGACATTATGTGAAGCTGAGTTGTGCATCAAGTGAAATTAAAATGTGCACTTGGTGAAACTGAAATGTGCAGAACAAAAGGTACGATGTGATGTTATTTTTGTACATTTTATGACGCACATTTCAGTTTCACCTAATGCACACTTGAGTTTAAAATTTTATTCTGCACATTTCAATATCATGTAATGCACATTTCAGTTCCACCAAATGCACATTTCCGTTCCACATAATACAATCCAACGGTCCAAATTCGTTCTTATTTCTCTCATGGTAGTCCGTTCTTACTAGAACCACTCTCTCTCTCTCTCTCTCTCTCTCTATATATATATATATATATATATATATATATATATATATAAATGTTGCAAACACATTGTAAACAATATATTTAGAAGGATGGATTTGTTATTATGTTGCCACATGTCAACTTTTCTTATGAAGGGTGTTGACACATGTCATCAATCCTCTAAAGAGTTCTCCAAGGGATTGCTTTATTATATTATATAGATGTCAAAGTCTGATCTAATCTGATTCGATATGGACTAATCTAGTTTTTTCAAGTCCGATTAGATTTGATCTTACCTGAGACCGAGACCAGTCCAATTAAAAACATTCTAAGTTATCAATTATACTTTAAATTGCCAAAAAGAGTGAGATCGGAGGAAGCCCTTCTAGTACTTAGAATACAAGCTTATGTATACTAAATTACTAATTACATTATAAATTTCCAAAAAGAGCTAAATCTTGTGTTTAAAAAGATGGACGTTTTTTAAAATAAGCCCTTGTGGACGTCTAATACATCAAGCCTAATTGCATATAATAAAGAGTGTGGGAAGAGCATGTGAAATTATTATTAATAAATACATGTGAAATTATTATTAATAGTCATCTTTAGAATGATTAAATTAGTGTATCATACACGGAATTAATATTGGGACGGTATATTTTTTGAGTCATCTTATTAATTATATTAGCTCAATGTAATATAAGATTGAGGAAGAGAATTATAATTGGACCGAAATATTAAAGAAAGTTTGAACAAAGCAACACTTATTATAGTCAACTTACTAAAAATATGAGATAAGGGAGGGGACTTATATTTGGGGTAGGCTCATACGGAAGAGAGCCAGCCCAACATGTATGAAAGAGAACCATTTAATAATAAGATGCGGCCCATGATCTAACCCAATACAAAAGGCCCACCTTGTTAAAAGTGGTAATTAAAGATATGGGAGGAAACTCACATTTTATGAAAGCCCATATCTAAATTAGTTTTATGAAATAACAATGATTGTAACAATGGGAAATATAATTCTTATGCATCACACGTATACTATGAAAACTTTAGTGTGGCATTCCCTTATTCCAGTTTGTTCCTTCAATGTTGTGTGGTGCAGAACAATGGCGATTTTTCTTGATGGTGAACTCTGAGGAAGAAAGTGATGAACGTAGTGACATTTTCGTGAACAATCCACGTGTATAAATTTACCTTTTTTTAGATTTTAGGGTGGATAGCTTCACGCTTGCAATATCCACAATTGCATTTGCAATTTAAAATTTTTGAGCTCTTTTTTGCTTGTTTTTGAAAAAATAAATCGATATATCATTAGTATGGTAAGGGACATTAGTGTTTAAAAATAGAACTGTACCGAACAGGTTTAGGTCTAAGACTGAACCAAATCATTCAATAGTAACAGTACGGGTACGAGTTTGGCAAAATATATTGGATTGTCCCGGACCTGCCCACCCTTACATTATCTCAGAGCTTTCCAATGAACTTTCTGATGATAGAGGTGGCTAGGAACAAAAAGGAATATGGTTCGAGGGTTGTAATAGAGTAATAAATAAAAGAATATAAAAGGAGGGAAATAAAATAAAAAATCTTAGAAGAAGCATGCCTACTTGAAATACATGAAATACATATATCTACAAAGAGTGCATGCAAATGACACATTTATGCTCTTTAGTGGACTGTCCAACAAATAAGTTTGTGGATATTTAGGCGATATCATTCACTTTGAGATTTCCTCCATTCTTACCCGATTAATGAGATTAATCCCATGGTCTAATCAATTTAAGTCTCATACCATACTTGAGATTCATGGAGATTTAAATTTTGATATCTACAGTGCTCTCGATCACTTTAGATTTATTAATAAACTAGAGAAGTGGTCGAATGTCATATGCCCAATTTGAACTTGCTTTGAATTTTGTATATGCTTCATAATGTAAAACATTGTTTGAATATATTGATAACAAAGATGATGCATCATGCCAGATACACAATTCTTATTTAATTTAATAAGAAGTAGATATTTTATTTTATATTTTTACATTTTCATTTTAATTTTTAAGTTTTTTGGTTTTTTATCTTTTAATTTAACGTTTTTAAATTATTTATCTTCCTATTTTTACATTTATACTTTTTTTCAAATTATTTATATTTTTTTTCAAATTTATATGAATTTTATAAGATTTATCAATAAGCCTACTTTTAAAAGTAACCTGCTATAGTAGGTCAAATAGGCTTGATTGATTGTGTTTTAAAAGTAAATTTACTTTTATGATACTTTTTTTAATAAAATGACTTAAGTGAAGGATTGAAAATTGTAGAAAAATCTATTTGACAATTCTCCTTAATAATAATGTAAGATAAATTCAAGGTAGTCATCATGTAATAAAATATACGGAGTAGTACGTAGAATAAATAATATAGGAGGGGAGCACTACACTTAAAAACTTAGCATGAAATGATGGAGAAAACATAGAAAAGTGCAGAATAAATGTAGAATAAGTGATTATTAATATGTGTTAGGCGAACAAAATAGTAAAATGTATCTATCAAAAATCAAACAAATGAATTATCTACCTTATTTACACATGCACAAAAGG